CGTTTCCCTCGTAGCTGACAAGTTGTTTATATAATTTTCGTATGCCGCCGATTTAAATTCTTGGATTTTTCTTTTAAGCACTTGGGAAAGTCTGTTTAAAACAGTTTTATCATCAGGATGACGCGAACGTTGCCATCTACGTCTGGCCTTTCTCTTTTCACCTACTAAATCAGTTATTTCTCGAGGATAGCTATTTGCTGTTGGTTTGTACTTTGACATTTTTGTATTGTTCCATGCTGCTCTTTGTATGATTTTAATAAATCCTTCTAACTCCACATCTAATTGCCATCTTTATTGTATATTAATATTTACGTCAATATTGTTTATTATTTCGTATCTAAAGCTCACCTAATCCATAGTGCTATTTGTTAAACTGGGCCTAAATAATGTTTTAGTTATTTTTTCACATGGTTTTAATATGACAGCAGAGTGATCCGAATTAAAATCATAGTTATCTTCAAGACTTAGAAAATTTTCTGATATTTTTTTGGTTATAAAAAAGTCAATAACATCAGGAATCTTGTTAGTGTCAGTAAGCCAATAAGTAGGAGTGCCAGTGGAGTGATAGCAACAACCTAGCTCTTGAATAGCTTTTCTTAGCTCTCTTCCTCTATTTGAGGTGATTCTAGAACCCCAATCTGTATGTTTGGCATTATAGTCACCTCCTATTAGATATCTGTGTCCATGCTTGTACAAAGGATCTTTAAAAGTATTTTTCTTAATGCTGCAATTTGGTGGACAGTATACAGCACTAACACTAAAGTCCTGTTTAGTCGATTTAATTTTTATCGAAATAAGCTGAATTTTAGCCGTTTCTATCTTGAATTCCTTATTATGTTCTACACATTCTTTTATTAGTATTGCACTACCTCCTCTTGGCTGATTGCTGGGATGTACCGCTTTATAGCAATCATAGCCCTTTATTTTAAGGCTCGTATAATATATCAAATGAGCCTGCGACAGCAAACAAATATTTATATTTCTCGTTTTGAGAAAGACCTCCAATTCTTGTTTCTTATTAAGAACACCATTAGCATTCCAAATTACTATACGTAACTCATTTACGTACATCTCTTCTTAACTTCTTTGGTGTCCCCGTATACATCTCAGTGTATGCATTTTCTATTTTTAGTGTATGCATTATTATGCATCATTTGCATAATGTCTGCGTCAGTTCTTTTTATTTGTGGGGTTTTGTTCTCAGGTTCCTTCATTTTCTTTTTTTGTGGGTTTTGCTTTGAAGCGCATGTGAATAAGATACTCCCTTTAACACCCTTCTAGGTGCCGCCATTCTGTCTATTTTTGGAGTTCATTAAATTTAACTTGGTTTTGTTTGGTCTTATTTTTTTTCAATCTTCTTTTTGAAATTCTTTTGCAACCCAACAATCTTGATAGCTAGCAGGGTGTGTCTCATTTCAGTTCGCACATTTGGGCTGAAAGTTATCCTTCTTGTTGCACTCCGCTGTCATATGATTACCAGCACATTTTACACATCTAGCCTCTCTTTGGCAAAACTTTTGTGTGTGCCCAATTCTCTGGCATTTCTTGCATTGAGGAATGGATTTGCTGCTTCTAAGAGCTTCAATTTTTACTCTCATGTGCTGTAAGTATTCTATTTTATAAATCTTGGTTATCTCTTCCGAATGGTCAAAAGATAACATGAAGAGCGGAAGTTTTACTGAAATATATTTTCCATTTTCCTTCACCCTTTTGATTTTATTTACAAAATCTAGACATTTAAAGCCTTTGCTAATAAGCTCTGTTTTTATATCCTCTGGCTAACACGATGGATGGAGATTTCTAGCCATATCTTTCACTGGCTTCGTCAGTTTATTCTCATATGTGTGCCACTTCAGTATAGCCTTATTTATAGCTTTTGTTAGTAATCTGTATTCATGTTCATTTTCCACATTTATTTTTAATTGGCCATTATTCGTCATATTGACCCTAACATTTATTCTTTCTTCTTTTAATATCTTAACTATGTGGGAGTAGTTCTTAATGTTGCTCAATATAACCGGAGCAGGTTTGTGCTTTTTTGGATTTTCAGCCTTCATTTTATCTATGGAGAATAGATACACTGATGTATGTCTAGCAACCCCGAACCGATTTCTGAAAAATGTCAGTAAATAAAATACGTATTAGTACGTGGATAACAAATGGCACAAAATGGAGGTTTTTCTTAGAGCTGAAAATATCGACGTATGTCTGTTGTCAGAAACGCACTTGGGGAAGCACTTGAATGTACTGGGTTATAGATGCTACAGAGCAACTCATCCTGATAACTATTCAAGAGGAGGTAGCGCTATTTTAAGTAGGGAAACAACCAAACATGATGAGGAATCCAAAATAGAGGTTGAGGGGATTCAACTTGTTCTGGTTAAGGTTGAGTCTAGCGAGCAGAATTTCAATGTTGGTTCAGTATATTGTCCGGGATGTAACATAAAGAAGAATATTTTTAAGCATCTACTCACAGGAGGAAACCGATTCTTACTAGGAGGTGACTATAATGCCAAACATGTGAATTGGGGCTCCAGATTGACCTCAACTAGAGGTAGAGAACTTTTTCGCGCGATGGGGATGTTTCTATCATTGTACTGGCTGTCCAACTTATTGGCCTACTGATGCTAACAAAGTACCGGATCTTACTGACTTTTTTATTTAAAAGAATTTCAGCAAATCTTTTGAACTTGGAGGATGATTTTAATTTTAATTCCGATCACTCTTCTGTAATATTAACCTTTAATAAAAAAAATAGATAATTAATAACTGATTCACTAAACACTCAAAAGAGAAATAGAAAACTTTAAGTCAGTATCATACGAGAATTATATAAAGTGCTTATCGGCAGCTATAGAAACGAATTATTCGTTGTAGAAAGCAGCATATCAAGAAGCCCATAAAGCGACTCTCTCCACTAAAAACGGCAGATAGATCATGGGCAAAAAACAACATGGATAAAACTGAACGATTTGCTGATGACTTGGAAGAAATTTCCCAACCAAATGAACTGCATCCTAGTATTCCTTTTGTAGAAGAATTTAAAATAAATTCTTCTACATGGAAAGTAAAATTTTCCAAGCGATAAAATCGCTTAACCCAAATAATGCCGCAGGTTTTGATCTAATTACTGCTAAAATACAACAAAAGTTGCCGAGAAAGGCTATGATATTTTTGAAAAGGGTAATAGATGCAGAGGTTGACCGCTGCAACCTGAGGTATGTTCCTTGTGCTTAGAAAGTAACGGAAGTTATTATGATAGGAAAACCGGGGAAACCCTTGAATGAGGTAAAGTTATATAAACCTATTTTTTTACTACCAATGATATCAAAACTTTTTGCAAAATTGTTGTTAACAACGCTGATGCCTATAATAGAAAATAAGAAATTGATTCAAAAAACCGTCAGCAACAATATAAGTAAATGGACAAATACATGGAAAATAAGGTTAAATGAAAGTAAATCTGTACATGTGAATTTTACAAACAAAAAATTAAGTGAACTCACCATAATGGAGTTAGAATGGTGCTAAAGTATCAATCCGAAACTCAGCGAAATACCTAAATATAACTTTGCATGTCAAGCTCAGATAGAAAACAAATATAGGGAAAACTATTGGCTGCAAGGTCGTAGGTCTAGATTGTTAAAATACAATAAGGTGTTGATATATTACCAAATTATAAAACCGATATGGACGCAGCATGTCTTTCAACTATGGGGTTGTGCCAAGCAAACACACATCAAACAAATACAAACTTTCCTGAATAAGATGCTTCGTAATATGGTGGGCGCTCACTGGAGTGAGCGCAATAATGATATTCATAGAGATCTGGGAGTCCTCCAGGTAAGTGAGAAGATGAGGAACTGTGCCATGAAACATAGGCCGCGTTTGGAACAGTATGTAATTAAGGTCGAGGCCTTAAGGGATTGGGTTTGAAGAAAAACACTGAAGCGAACGAGACCTCTTGAATTATCCTAAAGTGCTGTGACATTACTTCCGTGCCTTCCTTCACGGAATATAGACACAAAAACACGATGGAAAAAAACTAGTGGTTAGTCAACTTGACTATTTTTAGGAGTTTATGACCATCCGGGTATGTTTTTGGTTGGGTTAAAATCCCCCACTATTGTTAGGTGTAATGACAAGTTGGGACCGCCAATTTTTTTCCTTCGATGATTTTTAACACCTGTATTACAAAAAAGATAGATAAATAAACTAGAAATGACTACAAAAAACAAGACAAAAGAAAAAATGATATTCCCTTAAAATTTTACGTTTGTATGTATGAATAAATTAGTATATAAAAAAAAAGAAAAACTAAGAAAAATATATATCATCAGAAACAATTAGAAAAAATGTATAAGAATTAGAATATAAGTTGATATTTGTTTATGTTTGTAAAAATATACTTTTATTACTTTTATATTTAACTACAGTGTAGTTAAACATCAATTTACACTATTGTGTAAAATAGAAATAGTATAAAAATTTTTTAAATTAAAAATAAATAATAATCTCGGCTTAAGAAAAAGTTGTTGTATTATCTTTCAGTTAAATGACCTCAGAATTACCCTTTTGAAATATAACGACAAAAATTCCTTTTCCACTATGTAATTATATGATTTGATGGACCAAATCAATTCTAGTACTTTTTCTAGACTATGGATTGAATTCAGCTTTTATTGATTTACTATGGGAAAATCTCGACCATATGAATATCGCCTACGGAGGTAATTTAATATATTTGTTCGAACGATTTTCAGAATGAAATATTTACAACTGAATTCGTCCATATACTGAATACAATTTTTAAAAAATCGAGCTCTACACTTTGTTCGCTTTCGCTGGAAACTTACTCTATTGCTTCTTTTTTTACCCAATTATTTAATTTCATTAAAACTTTATACAGTGAATTTTTCCTTATTTAGTGAATGCTGATACATATTTGCAAATAAATATATTAATTGTTTTAAATTAAAATAACTTTTTTTTTCTTTCAGAGTAAACATGTCCCATGGATACAAATATTGCTTTCACCACCGTTTGTTGGATTATTATTAGCCCATTGCGGATTTACGTGGGGATTTTACACTCTGTTAACTGAAATTCCAATGTATTTGCACCATGTTCTTGAACTTGATATTTCCCAAAATGCTCTTTTATCAGCATTACCATACCTGACAATGTGGATTTTATGTTTAGTATTTAGTCCGTTTGCGGATTTTTTAATCAATCATCAGTATATTTCAGTTGAATTTAGTAGAAAATTATTTAACTCTGTCGGTCAATGGATACCAATGATTTGCCTAATAGGATTATCATTTATGACAAAAGAAACGACTAGCTGGGCTATCATATTACTCACATTAGCAGTTGGTTTTAATGCCGCGCAATTCTGTGGATATTTGGTGAATCATATGGATTTATCTCCTAATTATGCTGGCCAAATGATGGGTATTACTAATGGGGTGTCAAATTTATTATCAATCGCTGCCCCTTTAGTTGTAGGAGCCGTAGTTACTGAAGAGGTAAAGCGTATTATTTTCTAAAGATTTTATATACATATGGCATTATTTCCACTATACATCATTTTGTAGAATGATACGTCGCAGTGGCAGATTATATTTTTTATAACAAGTGGAGTTTACTTGGTTTGTAATATGGCGTTTCTTTTGCTTGGAAAAAGTGAAATACAAAAATTCAACCACTACTACAGTAAAAATGAAAGTTTGCAACAAAAAAAATAAGAGCAAATTTAGACACATGATCAGAAAAATATATTATTAAATGTTAGTTGAGTGTCAAAATTCAGAAATATATTTAAAAGCTGTTACACATCAGATTATATTATATAAGGTGACATTATTTCTGAAGATACATTATTTTCCTCGGCTTCCCTTTGTTTTAAATATCTTTTAAAAGAACCTCCAATTACTTACTAAGATTAGTTTCTTAAAATTTGTAATTTGGTTTATGGTTAAATTAATATTATCGTTTCTTTCAGTTTCAATATAAAATGCTCTAATTTCTTATTAATTTCATTAACATTGCTTTTAAAATCATTTAAGATTTTTGTTACTTTGTTTTGATTTAAATTTATATGATTAGTTTGATTTTTGATAGAATCTGAGGTTTTTTATTTATTAAAACGATTGTTTTTGTTGTGAATTCCTGCTATTATAGCGCCTTAGTTATTATTAGGGAACGGATTCTTAGGTTTTTACCTATTTTTAGTAGTGATTATTAGAACATATTTACCATTTTTTATTTTACCATTTTTTATTTCAATATTTTTTGTTTTACCATTTTTTATTTTACATTATTATTAAAATTAAATTTCAAAATCACAATTTTAAAAACTGAAATTTTAACTAAACCACCTTATTAAAAAATGAAAGTGACATACGAAAAATTTTCGCAGATTGCATACATGTAAGATAAGGCAACAAAAAAAATTAAAAGAGCCGTTAACATAATGCTCGAATTTAAAAAAAAAAAAATATTGTTGTTCGCTTTTATGTTTATTGTTGAATATAAAAATTTGTTAAAGCGTGCAATTCCGGAAATGTAAGGTACCGAAACTTCAAATTTTTCAAATTTCAAGAGACAATGTCTTGACAAGAAATAGAGGTAGAAAAAAATTTCGTCTAACATAATAAATTATTTGCTAATATTTAAAAGCTGCCAAAATTCCAGGCTTTTACATGTTGTATACCTTGAATTTTAGCTTCCAAGCTGCAAGAAAACGGATTTCAGATAACGGTTAATTTTAATGACTATTTTGTTTTCTTTTTTGCGTTTTCAGAATCTTAAAAGTTTTGGTGGTGTCGTCACAATAAGTAGTCCAAAAATGGCAATTTTAGATCATTGAGTGAATTCCTTCCAAGTAATCAGAAAATAGTTGAACTTTATCCCTTTTGCTTTTGTTATGATCCATCTGCTTTTTTCAGTGGAGAGATTCGCTCTATCGGTTTCTTAGAACTCTTCGTTATTTTCCACAATAAATAATTCGTTCTTTTATTTCTCGCAAGATACTGATTTAAAATTTTCTTTTTTGCTTTTGAGTATTTGAGAAAGCCTATTTGTCATCTTCGTCTTTATTATATGCATCTAGCCCTTCTTTTTTGTACTATTAACTCGTTTCGCTAAAGCTAGCGAAGCGAATGATAGCAGGGTGATCGGAATTCGAAATAAAATCTTCCGAATTCAAAAATTTTCCGGAAATCTTTTAGATATAAAAAAGTCAATAAGATCTGGGACTTTGTCAGATTAAGTACACCAATTAATCGGACTGTCATTAGAATGATAGGAACATCCCAACTTCCGAATGGCTTTCCTTAGATCTCACCCTCTATTTGAAGTATCTCTAGAACCCAAATCCACATGCTTCGCAATATAGTCACGTCCCACTAAAAATCTATTTCCGGACATAGGAGATCCACAAAAATATCCTTTTTAATGTTACATTTTTGTGGAGTAGAACCTTCATTATTTCACTTCTCTATACTGAGCCAAAAAACTTACGTAAAATTGACGAAGTGAGCTTAGATGTTAATTTTTGCCTAATCTTAGGTAATATGCCTTAGGTATTTTTTTTATATGAAAACTAAAATATTCTGTAAGTTATTGGTTAACTTAGGTAACAAAGTCTACGGTAAAATACCTAAGTGCACTATTTCAAAAAAATTTTGTTGGTAAAAACAACTAAGAAATTGGAAAATTACCTAAGTTCTTTTGTAAAGCAGCAAAAAAAAATTTCAAAAAACCAAAATGTTTTTTGTAAAATTTTTTATGAGAAAATTTTTACTAATCAGCCAAAGAACTATGATATTTTACCTAAGATTTTAGTTGTTTTATTACCTAAGTTCTTGATTCTATTCTTTAAAAATCCGCGAACTATGTTATTTGCGACCGTAAATACATTTTATTACGGCTCATCTAAGTTCTTAGTTAATTTAACTAAGCTTCTTAGTAAATTATCGAATGTAAAAGTTAACTGTAAAATTAAAAGTTTTCTTAAAATATTTTTGAAAACTTGATTATATACTTAAACTCTAATACTTATAATACGTAATTAACATGGCGTCAAAACACAGACAAAAATATTTACGTTCAACAAAGTTTTTAATATTTACCGACCGTATTGTGTAAACAATAGGTAGGTTATGTGATGGCAACAAATTTTGCATATCGAGTTTTTGGTGGGAACGTACTTCTCCATAGTACGGAAGTGTAAATAAACTATTTTTAGCAACCTGTCGGTCTGTCGGTCTGTGTGTGCACGAATGTATCTCAAGTTCGGCTGAACCGATTTTGATGAAATGTTATATGTAAGTTTATTTTCACCATGGCACAGATTGATCAAGTTTTGGGATATATCAGGCCTCGGGAACTGCACTTTTTAGCGGGCCTTTTTTACTTTTTTGACCATTTTGAAGAAAATATTCAACCGATTTACTTGAAATTTCATATATAAACCTTGCTCGACCGTCCGCGAAAACTCTAACTTTTGGAAGAAATCAGGTGTCAGCAACTGGACGTTTACTACAGGCCAAATATACTTTTTTGCGTATATAAAGAGAAATAATAAACCGATTTCATTGAAATTTAATATTTAAATTTTTCATATTAAAACAATGAACATATAATTTTTTAGATCAGGGCTCGAAAACTGATCTGCGGGCCGATTTTACATTTTTTAGCATATCTACGGAACGGATTGACGGAATTTTTGGAAATTTAATATTTGAGTTCTGGCTATTACAAAAACTAACTGGCGAGCATTTCAGGGAATTCGATAGAACAAAGCGAAACTCTACTAAGAGCCGAATTTACATTTTAAATGTTTATAATTTAAGCTTTGCGAATATATTAGAGTAGTACATATATACATGTTTTTAAACATTTACTATTTGTCATATAAGTATACATTAATGCAAATCATGATCAAATAATGTGCATTCTTAATTATACTTCTACAAAACAAGGAATATATATATAAATATATAAGCAATAAATATGACTATTCTTGTTTTTTTTGTTAGTACTGTCCTAATAACTAACGTTTATTACATAATCCTTGTAGAGTTTAATAATAAATTGAAAAAAGAAAATAATTTTACATATTAACATGAAAATAATGAGTTTTCATTATTATGTTTATTTGACAAAATTGATTTTAATTAAGCTTTATTAAAATTGATATATTACATTAAGTGCTACTATATCACATAAACGATAACCCATATACAAATTGTTATCAAATAAAAGCGTGAAAAAGTAACTGCAAAATCATCCGATACACAAATAAGAAATTATTAAAAACCAGAATTGGCCTAAGTTAAATTGTTTTTAACTCTTACAAATGACATTAAAATTTAACCTTGTTAGGTAATTTAAGTCGCCACTTTCTACACATATGCATTCGTATTTACGCGTGTATATGAAATTATAGGAGATCTAAATCAGTACTCAGTTTGCATTTGCTAGTAACGCGTCGTTAATACTTATAAGCAACTTTTAAATATTTTAAAGTTTTAAAGTTGTTGTAAAAGTGCCGTTCTTTTTAAATTGAAAAGAATGTGCTTGATTTTGTGTGAAATACATATTTGATTTTTTGAAATTTTAATTTAAATGTTTTCGTTAATAAAGGTGTTTAGAAGGTAAATATTTTGTGAAAAGAAATAATTCTTTTAAATATTTACAGTTGCAATTTAATTTTAATTTAATCTGAATTAAGGTAAAAGCTTCATATTGATTGTATTTGTTCAAATGTGCAAATTAAAAGATCAATTATGATTTCCTACTTATACAAAATTGAAATATTTCAATTGTAGGTTACTACCATAAGTACAAATTTGAATACAAAATTTAGTCAACATTATGAAAGTTTATTTTTCTAATAAACGAGAACTTTGTCAACTCTGTGATACCCGTGCAAATTTGTTATCCTTTGTGCGAATAAAGATGCCATAACTGACTATGGGACAAACTATGACTTTAAGTTGCCGTATTACCACATTAATTTGTGCAAAATTTCAGTGTTATGTATTTTTCAAAATACTGTATGTGCCAAACTACTATTGAAGTTTTATGGCAGCTACCAGAAAGAGCCAAGAAATTTTAACGAATTTTATCAAGCACATCGGTCCTACTAATATATTTGCTTGTGTGAAATTTCAATACCATAGCTTTTATAGTTTCTGAGATATAGCCAAATAACTTTTGAAGTTGCATGGGAGCTACCAGAAGGAGCCCATCTATTTCCACGACTTCTATCAGGCCCATTAGCCCTACTAATATATTCATTTGTGTAAAATTTTAATACCACACCTTTAATAGTTCATGAGATATAGCGAAATAAATTTTGAAGTTGTATGGCAGCTACCCGAGCCGGTACCCCGATCATGTCCAATTTAAATAGGGTTCTGGCACTTACTACAATAAATCATTTAAAATGTGAAAATTTGGTGAACTTAGTTCAGTTAGTTTTTGAGTTATCGTTGGGACGGAAGGACAGACGGACAGACAAAGCTAAATCAACTCAGAATTTGACGCTGATCAAAAACATGCACTTGAGTCTATATCCAAGACAGTTATTTCTTAGCGTTACAAACGCTAAGGCAAATTGAATATACCCTTCGAACATACTTTCGTACGGGTATAAAAATTCAGTTAGTATAAAATTGTATTCGTAATCAACTAATGAAATATTTCAATTTAGTACAAAGAGAAATTCTTAATTTATTGGCGCTGGTATTTACATATAATTTTACTATATATTTATTACGTACATATGTATTTAAATACACGAAATTTGAGCATAATACACGAATTTTAAAATTTAATATAATTATGTAAGTAGTTACATAAAAACAATTTTAGAAACGATAATTTTTGTGGTATGTTCACACTGAAAGTTTTTTTGTATAAAAAAAAACAAAATTCAATGTAAATATATTCAAAAAATTGAAGATTTCATATTGTCTTCGATTATTAGAAATAATAGAAGCAAATGAATAAAATCCATAAATTTTTTACTTCAAAAATGGTTAAATTGAGAAAATATGCACATATTGGAGAATTAAATGTTAAAGTTTTATTCAAGAACAGTTCAATACATATTCTAAAAAATTCAATAAATGAAAACCTCTGATTTAATTTTTTTACGTTTATGCTTCAAATTAAATTATTTGTTTACAGTTGGGTGTTCTATTGAGTTTGTTTTTTCAAATAGGAAACATACTGAAGACTTACGAGTAATTAGGATAGCTTTTGAAAAAATTAATACTTATTTCGGAATATAAATTATCTGAAATGTGTGCTGCCATTCGAATTTTGTTAACTTTACTAATATTTTTGAAACAAATTTTTAAATTAACAGACGTTTAGCGTGTTGAAAATTTTGAAAAAAGCTGAGCAAAGTAAATCCTTGTTAAAGAAGTATGAAGAAACACAAAAGCTAACACACTATGATAGAACTTGGGTCATGCATCATATTATACAACATGTGATAGAAAATGAGAAGAAAATAAGCGTAAATCAGTGAAGGAATATTTTCCCAACTGACTTATACATATATATAATTTTTGTCAAATGGGCCTTTTAATATTTTACAAAACAAAACTTGTTGAAAACTTCAAAAATATAAATCCTACTGAAACGAGTGATGTCTTAAAGGAACTCAAGAAAATTTCGGCTAAATTAAATTATATTAGGGATTGGGAGCAAGTGCTAAAAAAATGAAAGCAAAGAATTTTGTATAAGTAAAAAAATTTGGACGAAAATAATATGACTCTACAAGAAATTTTAAAAATTTGGCCATTTTTTGAATGATGAAGAGCTCCTGAGTTGGTATGTTTTTTATTTTAAATATGAAGAGCAAAATGTTAATTAATTTTATAAAAATTAAATAATCTCAGGTAAATATCCATTATCTGTTTTCGTACCCAGAAAACAATTTAAATTTTTCGAAATGGGAAAAATTTTGCGAGATTGCAGAGAACATTTTTTCTGAGACGGTTGAAGATATAAAATGTAAGGGTTTCTTTAGAGAAAAGAGACATTCTCTTAGCTCAGGTAAGATATCTAAATTTTTGAATTATCCTTTTCTTAATGTGCACTTAACTCAAATATTTATGTATATGATTTTAGATAACTTAAACATATATTTCATGAGATTACTATACGCAATTTTAGTTCCTCACACTAAGGTTTTTCAAGGGTCCTTTATAAAATATACGATTGAAGATTCTCGAGAATTTTTCACCATGCCTGTATTTCATACAAGTGATGTAAATAAAATTATTGCAGAAAAAAGAATAAATTGCTGACTTGAAAAGAATAAATTAGATGACATTAAATTTGCTTTTGTGTCATACGTCGAAGCGACACAATTTTGCTTTAAGTTAATTTACACGCTGAATTTAAAATATCTAAATAAAAGCGTTTCATTTTGGACTTTCATACAGAAATTCCTTTATGATATTCAAACGCAAACAATAGCAATACATTTTATAAAAGATTTGAATGATCTTATTTAAATATGTTAGTTTTCTCTAATATTTTCTATGTCTAAAGTTTGTTTTGTATTCTAATATTTCAGTTGTTATGAAGTTGTAAGATGAAAAATAAAACAATTTTATATATTTTTTAAATTTAAATATTTTCAAGGGTTAAAGAAGTTTAAAATATAAATGAAATCTTGATTATCGTAATTAAAATTAAACGTTAAGGTTATTAAACTTTAATTAAAATTGTGTTAAGAGATAATAATTAAAAACAAAAAAATAAATACTTAAAAAAAGATAAGTTTATATTATATTCCATTTCCTTCATTTGAAAATTTTAATTTAAGCTTATTGCAGAATTTATAAGAAGCCCTTGTGTAATTTTATTGTAATATATGTGTGTGTGTAATATAAAAGATAGATTTTGTGTATTTTTTTAGTAAACCTTCACGCAAAATTCAATGTAATTGCATAGCTGCCATACATAAAGCAAATTTTTTATATTCGGAAAAATAATAAAATCAGATCCATGAAACTTGGCAGTCATGTGTCCAATTATAGGTCAGATATATTTCTGAAGTTTTAGTCGAATTGCTTGACAGGTTCGGGTACCTGCCATACAACTCCAGAAGCTAATTTTAAATATTTGAAAAAATAATAAAGTCAGATTCATGAAACTTGGCAGTTGTGTGTTGAGTTATAGGTCAAATATATTTCTGAAGTTTTGGTTGAATTGCCTGACAGGTTCGAGTAGCTCCCATACAAGTCTCAAAGCTTATTTGAAATAGTTGGAAAAATAATAAAGTCAGATTCATGAAACTTGGCAGGCGTGTGTTCAATTATAGGTCAGACATGTTTCTGAAGTTTTTGGGGGAATTGCTTGACAGGTTCAACTAGCTCTGATACAAGTCCAAAAGCTGATTCTAAATATTTGGAAAAATAATAAAGTCAGATTCATGAAACTTGGCAGTTGTGTGACCAATTATAGGTCAGACATATTTCTGAAGTTTCTATAGAATGGTTTCATAGGTTCGAGTAATTCCTATACAACGATAATAAAATATCCTTGTACAAATATCAAGAAATTAGTTGAAATAGATACGTGAAAATGAACAATATTAATATAGTTAATTCATGAGAAACTTTTTTATGAAATTGGCAATGTAATGCGTTATAGAATACTTTTGATGTATTTAATTGCCCAAAAATACAATATTTTTTTTTATTTATGACAAATATTATTAAAATTATAATATTAAAATTATATTTCATAATTTTTCAACTTAGGTATACTTTGAGAAAGTTACCTAAGGAAAAGGTAATATTTTACCAAAGATTTCACCCAAGTCTTTAAGTTAAATTACCTAAGAAAAAACATTATTTTTCACCAAAGTCTTTTAGTTAAATTACCTAAGAAAGTAGGTAATATCCTTCAAATTTAGTTGATTTGCTAAAGAAAATGGTTAAAAATTTACTTTTGTTCCTTAGGTGTATTATCAAAGTTCAAAGTTGAATTTTATCGAAGTTTTTAGACAAAATTGACACAGACTAAGTTTATTTTTACCTTAAGCTAAGGCAACAATTACCTAAGAACTTCGGTACATATGTCATCATTTTTGTGACGTAAGCAAATGTCACCTAAGTTTAAGTGAAAAAACTTAAGTAAAATTTTTGCAGCCTAAGACTTAGGTAATTCTCTTAGGTGATATAACAAAGTTTTATTTTCAATTTTAGCGAAGAAACTAGGTAAGAATAACTTAGTAAGATATGTACTTAGTTAAATTTTGGATTTTTTTTTACCTAAGTTTCTTGACTATATTATACAAGATATCAGTTGGCTCATTTCGACCTAACTTCTTAGGTATGTTATACTCGATTCTCAGGTGATTTTACGTAAGTTATTCGTTTAGTGACTCTTTTGGATTCTTAATTATGTTATATGAGACTTCTCTACTTTTGTGCGTATTTTGATTAATTTTTTGTGCTGCTTGCATTAACTCTTGGCTTTTATCTCTTTGGGTTTATTTTTGTTTTAAGAATCTAATCGATTTCTGTAGCCAACTCTTTCTAATCTGTTTCATACACGATCACACCTACTTTGTTTTTCTCGGTGCCATTTAAAACTGCATTCTGCTTTATCAATAATTTTAGATTTTTGCCTTAAGTTTGCAGACCTTTTCTTTTAGATCCTTACACAGGCTCTAAAAATTACATTCGCTTACAAGCGAATCAACCATAGGTCCGCTTCCTAATGTAATGAACTCTTTACATTACCTTTAGAGGTTTTACTTTCATTGTTGTCTTCAGACCTTCTTTCTTATAACTTTATATGGGTGTCCTTCTAACTTGTCCATAGGAGCAGACTTTACAAGCGTTGAGCTCTTGCCAAATGGGTTCATTAATTTCGCTAAGTGATCATTTTGTTCCACTGGCGACTTTCCTGCACGTCTTGAACATTCAGCCAAGCCTTAGCCGGCATTTTGGTAGGTATCACCAGTGCATTGATCTTATTATTCAACATTTTATATTTATTTATAAGTCACATGGCTATTAATCCAACCAAGTTGGTTCTACTGCCGTCTGGGATCGGCCGCAGATCTGAAAGTCATCCATTCTGGATCAGACGCCCCTGGATTTTACCCGAATTTTAGTGGACTCGTACATGCCTGCCAGTTTAGTGGACAAACATGCCTGCCGTGGTTATTTCTACTCCCTAGTCTCCCGGGGATTTTTAATACAAAATTCTAATTTGTGATACTCATATTTCTATATATTTTCAAATTTTCATATCATAACACACGTGAATCTAGTTGTAAGAATATATGTATGTATCGCCATAAAACACATGCCGGCAGCGATCTATTTATTCCTATCAATTTATTGCTTATTTCAATAATTGCTAAATCAGATATAAGTTTACATTATTATTCTATTTTATTTCTTAATTCAAAAATATTTTTGGTATTAAAGAATTAATACATTCTTCTTAAGTTTAATTTGGAAATGTTTTTCTACAATTTACTTACTCTTAATTAAATTAATTTTGTTATCAATGCTACCTGTAAAAGAATTTAATGCGAGTTGCTGTATAACTGAAAGATAAAAATTAAAGGTGAAGGCAAAAATTTCATAGTGGGGAGATTTTATTACTTCAAGCTATATTTTTCAAAGTTCAAATGATGGTTGCCATGTATTTGGAGAATAATATTAAGATTGAACACTTTACAGGGTTGTCACCCAGTAGTAAAAATGATTATAAAAAATTTAATTTTAATTTTTCGCAATAACAAGTTCAAACAAGCTTCTAGAATAGATTCTGGGACAATAATCAACTATTTTATTACAGATAATATTAAAAAAAAGAGATATTTTCATTTATAAGGTACCCACTATCTGGTCAATAGCAGTTTTTTATTAGTATAAATATGGTCGATTTACAAAGTCCATTAGGCGAAAAAAATTAAAAACAAAACATGATTGGATGACCGTCGAATAACCCACATGATTAAGACACGCGATTCTTTTTATAAATAGAATAAAAAATATCCAGACTGTTAAAATGTGAAATATCTAAAGTAATTAAAAATAAGAAATAAAAATTAAGTATTTAAAAATAAAGTAAATAAAGTTAGGTCAAACCAATGGTTTGTAATTTAGCACCTTTCCCTTAAAAAAGTGATAATACTGCTTTTAAGAACAATCTAGCTAAGTACGAGTACTATATTATTAAAATTACTTTCATTCATACACCGATATATTTTAAAAATTGCATACTGTTCGGATGACCATTCCTGAATTAATCAAAAAAAAATTAAAGAGGCGTTAAAATAATGCTTGAATTAAAGGGTAAATTTCGCACGTTAGCTTTTCCGAATTTCTATAAATGCAGAATTTCCGAATTTCTATAAATGCAGAATTTATAGAAATTCGGAAAAATTTACGGTTTCGGAAATATAAGGTGCCAAAACTTTGGATTTTACAAATTTCGAAAGGCGATAACTTGGAAGGGAATAGAAGTGGAAGAAAAACTTCTTATAGCAAAATAAACTAATTATTAGTCTCTAAAAACTTCTAAAATTTCAAACTCGTAAATCATTCGGTTCAGAAGGAAAATTATATCAAAAATATGGAAAAAACGAGTTTTAGGTAACGGTAAATTTTAACAGCCATTTTGTTTTTTTAAAGTCCAAGTATGGTAAGCCGTGGTAGAAGAAGCCAACCACTATGTTTCTGCTTATTGCTTCGCTGTAATAAATATTTTGAAAATGGCATTTTTAGGTCTTTGATGGGCTGTAACTTTTATATTTAACTTTTATGTAGATAGGATGTCTCTTCAAGGATGTGAAATTTTTGAAAACATGTTTAATGAGAAAATGGACGGTGGGATGGATAGACGGAGTGAAACTTATAAGCACCTTTCTTCAAACATTTTTTTGGAGAAATGCTAAAAAGTTAATATCTTCAGCGATATTAAAGTATTGTTCTGACTGGATATCAAAGGATCATGACTTTGCAAAATGTGTTTAAAAAATTATTTTTAATCAAAACTCTTTTTAATCAAAATCTTGTAGTCAAATAAAATTAATTAATTTTAAGGGAAATGTAAAAAACGAGGCACTTAGTGTATCAAATACAATGAAAATACTTTTCACTACGGTAACAGATGATCCTGGTATTCTTGCAGCTGAAATTAATAAGGATTATTTCATTGATTTTCAGTTCATTAAGTTACAATTTATTTCATTTACTCCAATCAATATTCAAACAAATTACAAAAATATATATAAATCAAAGTAACACACTTCATTTCTACAATACAGTACGTAATATACCACACAGTTTCGTAAAATAATAACTATTAGTACCACCACATAATTCTGCATGGAATTTGAGAAGCACATTCTCAGTGGACAATCCTTCACAAAAGCCAAGCTGTTTACCTCAAAAAAAGCTATTTTTATTTAGAAAATTTAAAAAAACCGAACTTCATAGCTCCCTCAAAAGTTTTAGAAATCACTGGCTATAGTGAAATTGGTCTACAATTATTCACATCTAGTGTATTTTCCTTTTTAAATAAAAGTAAAATATCTTTTAAGTGTTCTAAAAAAATATCCTGATACACACCCAAATTAAAAATATAGGCAAGAACATCTACAACATAAAATGAAATTCCTTTATGATATTATTCAGAACTTAGTAAAATAACCGAAGTTGAATAAGATTTCTTTAAATTATTATTAATTTTACATATTTAAAAAGAGGGAATAGGATCAAAAACAAAACTATTATAAATTAAATTATTGTAAATGTGTAAACGACGAAA